AAAATTCATCCGTACAATGTATAGTTCATACAATGAGATATGATAGATGAGCCCAAATATAAAAAGACCGAAAGTGTAAAGAAAACACCAATAATTTGTTAAAATTTTAAATTTTACTCTTACAAATAAAAAAATAAATATTAATAAAATTTAGTGTTTGTGAATTTGACGGTAACTCAATTATAAATTAATTAAAAATTTTTAATGTGATTATTAGATATTAAAAAATTAATTAAAAAAAAAAAGAAGAAAAGTGCAAGGAAAATGAGTGCAGTCTGAATCATGGTGTCAACGCAATGGCACATCCTGGCATTTCTCCTCTCCCCCAGGCCCAAGTTTAGCCTACCAAGCTTCGGCATAGCTTTACCATTTTCCGTGCACAAATATAAACTGAGCAGAACAAACAAGAGCTTGACTGAATTAAGACTAACTTAAAAAAACCTTAGTTTAAGGTTGAGTTCGAAAATTCACACGCTTATGCTCTCAGCAACTAACTTCTTTGATGTATCAAACATATATATATATATAGAGTAAAGTGAAGTCCACAAAACACAATGAACCATTAACGGCGCAGAAGTCCATGTCCCCTCATTCATAAGGTGTAAGCTTTGAGTTGCTGAATCTGATTACTGTATCCTCCATGTTACAAGCTGATGCTGCCAAGACAAGAACCTATGGTTAACTTCAGCCGACATCCATATTATGATCATTATCGTTGTCTCCATCGTAATATTCGTCATCACGCTGGATTTGCTTGTCTTGGGTGTGCTCTGTAAAGGAAGATATTACGAAACGCAGACAAGTTAAATGGTGATGAGAAAGGAAATTGTGAAAGGAAAAATTATGTGCACGCCACAAAACACAGGACAGGAATGCAGACAAATATTCTAGCTTTCTACTTACGATCATTTCGTTCATCAGGATTTTGCTCATCTTCATCAAAATCAGGAATGTAGAAGTCTGGTGGAACCTGAAAACAACAGATCATAGCCACTACCAGATTTAACAATCTAGAATACAAAGGTATCATGGGCTATTTAAAAGATTTAGTTTGCCAATGCTGCCACTCACCTCTTGCAACTGAACACTTGGAGCATGTTGGATGGAACGAAGATTTTCTAACACCTGCATTTTGATCGTACTAAGATATGATTTGCTATTTAAATTCTCCTGCTCATTCAACCGGAAGAAAAGAAGGTGAATTAGGAAGAATGTAGAGTTTTAAGACTACTGTTTGCATTGTACAAACCAACTTAGAATACGCAATTTGACAAGCTAGCAAAACTCCACAACACAGATGGCAGAAAATTGGAAAAATAAGTACAGTTTCTTTTACCAAAAGAAAGAATCAGTTTGTTGAATCTACACTTTCTAAAAAAGGGAAATACATACAATGTGCCCATTTGGTATCTTCAACAAGCAGTCTGGTGCAAAATATTTGATATACTCATTTTCTGGGATCTCTGCAAAAAATAAAATAAAATTCAAACCCATAAGTTAACTTCTCAAATAGGAACAGAACTTATATCCAATCTGCACATGCCCCAACATTGCAAGTGGTAGCATCATTAGCCCATCCTTTCCGGTGCTAATATGGCAAAAGAAATCCCTGAATTCATCAATGTTGTCTGCCCAAAAATTAAAAGTTTGATAATCGTGGCATACCATTAGGAAGTTCTGTATCTAAAAGAACTCCTGTTTCAACAGTCCAACAACGTGCAACATTTTCTTTGGTGTATCCTCCACCTCCAGTTACCTACAGAAAAATAATTCATCCACATATTTTAACCATGAAACATGCATTGAACAGAAAGGAACATGATCAAGGAAAAACCATACCAGTAAGGGCAAATTGAATTTCTTGACAAACCTAACACATTCAGCATGTCCTGTGAGAAGAAAACATCACTACCACTGCCAGTTGGCTCAAGATCTAGTAAGTGACTTGAACAAGAATATAAAGAACTGTACAAGGGGGCATAAAATTGTTAAACAGTGTGATGCACCTTCAATTGAGAGATTGAAGCAGCCCAAACGATCTCCAGCCAGTGAATCTGCCCCACATTGAAGAACGATTGCACCCGGCTGGTATATTTCAACAACCTTGGATATAAGCTAAAAAAAAAGCAAAAAAAACTTCAGGCTGACAAGGTTCAGTATTATATAAAGCAATTATCTAGCAATTAACCCTTAACCAAGAACTTACAGTCTTAAATAGTCGAGTGAAGCTAGTGTCATCAATTCCGTCCTTGAGTGGGACATTTATGGCATAAAACTTTCCTTCTCTTTCTCCTATATCCTTCAAATGCAGTGTGAAATTCAGTAGGTAAAACAAGAGACAGATGTGTTTAAGCATCTAATTTTCCCACCAATTGATCACACCTTTAATTGAATCATCAATGTTAAAACATTAATTTCAAATACTTATGATTAGTGGGTATCAACTTTGAATTACAGGTGAATAGATTAGAATAAGTTTTCACCTAGATTAGAATATGTTTTCATTACTTAGGTTGCCAAGGCATATTACTACAATTGAGCTGTAGATACTAGATAATCTCCAAGCAGCTATGAGCGAACAGATGCAAATACTTGGAAAATAATAGAACTAACAATTTTAAACCCAGGTAATCAAACAAGCAACAAGCAAAGTGTTGAAGTTGGCCACAAAAAAAAAAAAGAAAAAAAGAAAAAAGAGCAGAGTGTTGAAAAATAACCTTCACATCACCAGTGCCAGGAAAGAACATATCGCCATACTTGTGAAAACTAACAGTCATCACCCTGACATGTTAGAATACCAACAAATAATTAGCACACACAGACAAAATACTGTCATGCTTTATCTGAACAACCAATTAGAGTTTCAGATATGACAAGCATAAATACAATTCCTAGATATCTTTAATTCAGTATATAAATTTTAGGAAACTAGTTCCCCAAGTCTATGACATAGTCAGGTTGTCTGCTAAGTTACAATGCCATCAAGTAGATTATCTAATAAATAGACATGTAAAACTACAGACTATACTTGTAAAGTGATAATGCGCAGCATCCTTTATGGATAATTCCTTGTTTAAAATCATAGCCCTTAAAATCTAATTATGCTGCTATGAGTCATAAGTGTTGGTTCATTAATTGCTATCATCAAAGAACAGAGTGCAGTCTGTATTTAAGTATCAACATAATTAAAATTGCTTGTAATTTACTTTCAATGCAATTATGACGCAACATAAGCATATAAATATATAATCCTCCTAAAAGGCAAAAACACCAATAACAGCAATGACTCCTAGATTGGATTTTAAATTTCTGAAGGTGTGTAGTATTGTTACTAACCTAAATTCATGAGACTACAGCAAGAATCAATTACCTGTCAGTAAAATAAAAGGCCTCTTCAACCCCATCACCATGATGCACATCTATATCTATATACAAAATGCGGGCATGATGCTTCAGAAGCTCCAAAATTCCCAAAACCAAGTCATTGATGTAGCAAAATCCAGATGCCTCACTCTTCTTAGCATGATGTAAACCACCAGCCCAATTTATAGCAATGTCACAGAGTTGATTGTTCAACCTACGTGCAGCATCTGCCATTCAATAGTATTTAGCAAGGTAGAAAACATACAACCCAAATCACTAGCATACATCATTAAAAATTAGGTTACCTATTGTTCCTCCAGCATAAATTTGACAAAACTCAAACATGTTTTCAAAAACAGGGCAGTCTTCTCCAAGATTATCTGGAAAAGAAGATGAATGTAATCAGACAAAAATGAAACGGGAACAATGAATGCTGGAAAACTCATGTTCCAACTTCATAAAATATAAAAGAAGAAAACCAGGGTCATACATGTTCGCAGTTCATTTGAGAACAAGTGCTGGGTGTCTGGTCTTATACGATTTAGGAACTCAACATAGTCTGATGAATGGAATTGAGCCAGCTCAACAGGGTATGCCTTATGGGGTCGCTGCATAACTCAAGAAAAATCTAAAGAACATCAAATCTCCGCGACTAATTTGATGGAACAACGACAACAACTTCCAAGCCAGCAGTAAAAGTGAAATCAGAAAGCAAAATCAAAGAAACATTGAGTTCCAAGTGACTGACATAAATCTCCATTTTCTTGTGAAGGTCATATGCAAGAACTAAATGGTGGGTCATGCAAAGCCTGTGCGGCTTCATGGGATGATTGGGTCCAAAGTACACACTCCCAACATCTCCTGCAAATTCACATCCATCTGTAAGCAAATTTCCCTAAATTTCACACACATTCACAGCTACAAACAAGATAACAGTAAACCCATTCCCAGTTTTCCAAACACATACAAAATAACAGTTTTACCAACCAGAAAAATAAAACAATAATATCAAATTTGGATATTATCTCAGATTTCCTATGCAACCAGACATGGAATATGTTCGTAAAGCAATACAAAGAAAGAAGCGGGCTAGGGTTTTGGTTCAGATCGAGATAAAGGAACAGGAAGCAGCTGAAGAAAAGAGAGTATCAAACCGTCGTAAAAGTAGGAAATTCGATCCTTGGGGCGCATTTCCGCCAGCAAAAACCCTACAGAGAAAGAGGAGAAACCGTAGCTATAGGGATCGCGTCATTTACGGCGCTCCGCGGCTGAGGAACAAGAGAGAGAAAGAAGAGAAAGATAAGAGCGCGCACCGCTCCCGCTTCGGTGTATATAAAGGCCATCAAAGATGCTTCCGTCTTCTTTTTCGGTTTTTTTTTTTTTTCCTAAATGGTAGTAAATCATTTTTTCTGTGTTTTAATTTTTCTTTGGATTGGGCACAAACTAAAATAAATAAAATTTTGTGAGATTTTAAAATAAACAAATTTTGTTATCAGTTTGTAATTGTTTTTAATAAAAATAATAAAAAATTTTAAAGTTAAATCATATAATATATAAATAAGAGACATAAAAAATATAAAAAAATTACAAATTTCATTATTTCACTTTTGTCATATGACAAAATTTTGGTTAATTCAAAATAAAAATATAAAAATTCATACTTTGGATGTTGGTAAGCATAAATTTAAAGAATTTTATTTTAGTTTACATTTTATATTTTATCTTAAATTTTATTAAATTTAACTTTATTAAAAAAAATTGTGATTTTTGATAAAACTGTTGTAATTTAATTTTTTTTAAACTTTTTTTTTCCTATAAACTCAAACATACTATAATAATAAAAGCAAGAGAACTAAAGTATGAGTGATTCAATTAAAAGGACTACTATTTTACATTTTTACAAAATATTGATAAATTGTTTTTCTTATAAAAAGTTCTCATTCCTAATATATAATTCATAAGAAAAACAAAAAAAAAAAAAAA